AATTTAGCTGACAGCCTGTTTCAGACACAGAAAAGCACTGGTGCAGGTTTTTACACACAGAAAAAGTAGGCTGTGGCAGAATGACCAACTGCAGGGGGTGACAAATTCCTGTATGAGTTTGCTACATTGCACATGACTTCTTCCTGGTGTAGGAAACAATCAGCTGTTTGAAAACTAATATAAACAACATCCTGGATCTCCTTTGTCTCTACGACAACCACCAAAGTGTTGGACCTGCTAGGGCAGGCTTGAGGAGACTTGGAGTGGAGCGGAAGCTGCTTTGGAGAGGTGTGATAGTTACAGCTGCAGAGAAAAGCAGTAATTCCCACTCATTTTGTCACTGTTTTAATCCCCAAAGTTTGCACTGATCCACTCCATGCCTCAAAGCCTGGAGACACAAGGAATCAGTCCCCTGCCAGGCCTTGTGCTATAGAGCACAAGATTCAGTTTTGCCTGCACTGTGGAAACGCTGTGACCCCGTCTGGCTGTACTCAGCCAAGTCGAGCAGACACGATTCCCAGCGTGTCTCGCACACAAGGATCTGGCTCACACACCCCCCAGCACTGTCTGCCTTCTTCTAACACCATGATATTGACTCAGGAGTAGGCAATTTTCTGCAAAACTGCTCATCTTATATTATCTTCGCTACTAATGAAGAAGAAACATTTTAATCTAATAATAAAAAGCACATAAAACATCTGCATCTTTTAGCTACCGATCTTAGGCTTTACCACATCATATTTTAGAGGTCTAAATTACATGGAAGTGCCTCATTAAGTTTTCCCATTAAGAAATACGATTATGAGATCAATTTGTTCATTCGGTAGTGTCCATAGACTGGATTAAATATATATATATTTTTAAATGATGCTTGTGAAGTTAAGGGGAAGTACCTTCAAATTATTCTTTTCCCTTGTAACATTATGTTCTTTGAACGTGTTCAGTAAAAGCAAAGAAAAAAATCTACAGAATGCATAAATAATAACTCTACAACATGTCTGCCCATCACATCCATTTCACCTTCCTTCCCTGCCATTCCCTCCCTCTAACAGACACTCATAACTCTTCTATCTCAGACTCTCCTATATTCTTATTAATGCTGTATTTCAACTAATTTGAAAAGCAGACACCCAAATGATACAACAAATTAAGTTATGAGAAGGCAACTCAGCTCTCCATGCAGGGCCTGAGAACAGATTTGTGAGCCTGCTCAATGTTTAAGGATAAGCCTGACTCAATGCAATCACATGTTTTTAAAAGCCAAAATGTGTGCTTTAAATGAGCATGACCATAGGAAACAATTTCTGTAATTTTAGTCTTTTAAACACTTTTCCTGGCATAATTTCATTGCCTCACTTTCCACCTTACATACATCTCCTGAGGGGTGCTGCGTCATTAAAATCCCCGAAGTCACAGACACATTATATGTATCAGCAGTGAACAGCTTGAAAAGTCTGGAAAAGAAAGAAAGAAAACAAGAGATGTTTATTTGCAGGGCAGCTGCTGAGGAGTAACCACTGTGACTAGCCGTGGCTTGTGGCTGCTGGCCAAGCAGCCTGCAGCCATTTCCATGGTGTTCTACATGGCAAAATAACCAGGCTGTGGTTACGCAAATAAGACACACACTGTGGGCACAGAAATAAACACTGAGGTGTAATAATAACTACCCACACGCCGTCCTGGCACTCTGGTAGGCTGAGTTCTGGGACAGGTTGGGACAGGCGCTGTGGGCACAGGAGGGCCTGTCCTGCTGGTCAGGGTGGCTCTGAGGTGGGTGGCAGAGTGGGACCAGGAGATGAGGGCAGGCAGGCAGGATGAGATGCAGGGATGGAGGATGAGATGCAGGGATAGAGGGTCCGTCCATGGTGGGTGGGGGGTGAGGGGCAGTCAGGAGCGCTTGGCTGGGGTGGATGAATGGGACAGGCAAGAGTTAAAGTGCAGTTTAGTACATGGCAGGAGACTGTGCCATGGTCAGGACATGGTGCAGCCTCATCTGCTTTGTTTTAATAGGTTTTTAAAAACCATTTACATTATTTGCAGCTGTTTTTTTTATTTGCCCTTCTGATGCCCTTGTTTACTCTGTGCCATTACCCAAGGCAGTGGATAATGCATTAAATCTTCCCCTGTACCTGGCACTGGTGAGGCCACACCTTGACTCCTGTGTCTGGTTTAGGGCCCCTCAATTCAGGAAGGACATTGAGGTGCTGGAGTGAGTCCAGAGAAGGGCAACAGAGATGGGGAAGGGTCTGGAGCAAAAGTCTGATGAGGAGCAGCTGAGGAAGGTGTAAGTATTCAGCCTGGAGAAGAGGAGGCTCAGGGGGGACCTTATCACTCTCTACTGCTCCCTGAATGAAGGTTGTAGCCAGGTGGGGGTCAGGCTCTTCTCCCAGGCAACAAGTGACAGGATGAGAGGAAATAGTCTTAATCTATGGCACAGGAGGTTTAAGTCGAACATTAGGAGGAAATTTCTTCACAGAAAAGGTGATTAGAGATAGGGATGGGCTGCCCAGTGAGGTGGGGGAGTCACCATCCCTGGAGGTGTTTAAGGAGTCCATTCCATTTCAATGAAAATATTATTTTACAGATTTTCAATTAACTATGGGGTTTTGTGATATTTTCATTTCATTTGTAGAACTCAGCATTTATGCATATAAGAGAATTTACATGATGAAAATAAGTATTTAAAAATACTTAATTGTATAATTATAGGCATAGGAAACAATAAACATTTAGTGTGAAAAATGTCTTTGAGGCATTTAACTGTGGTCTCTGCTTTCTAAAACAAATTTGAAATGTTTATTTCTATCTATTAATATGGATGGTCAATTTAAGTTTATATGAAAATAGAAAAATGTAAAATCATTACTGTTCAATGTGATTGTGGTGAGATTAAAATTATAATCAGTAAACTGATTATAAACTGATTATAAACCACAGAGAAGCTGGCATTTGGGTCCACTGCTTATCTTTCTAAACTAAAAAACATAACCTTGGAAATCTATTCATTATCTCAAATCTTGATTGATTTATTTATTTACTGCAACTCGCAGCATCAAATGCCTGAAGCTGGCATAATGCCTCAAAAATACAACAGTTTAAGCAAATCCTATTCTCCACCTCCAGCCATCCCTGCCTCTATTCCATGACCAATTTTTTTTTCTGAACAAGCTTCCAAAGCAACATGGAAACTAACTTTCAATTTGAATAGCAGGGATTTCTTTTCCATAAACCTTTGCCACTATAAGCAGTATAAGAACAAGTAAATTTTTGCTCCTTAAAACCCTCTCAAACACACCAACCTGTCTTTCAGCATCTTGCAGGTGCCCTTTCAGGTATGAAACAGTCAAATTATGTTGAGCTTTTTTGGTTAGAGGCAGTACATGAAATTTTACCTTGTATCCCACAGATACATAGATATCGAAAATTTATTTATTGAGCTCAGAAATTTTTCTGTGACTGAGGCAAAATCTGCATTTAAATGGTATATGCCTGAAAGTCACCAAATTTAGCATGAAGTTGCTCTGTTGGTAGTTTGTTCCAGCGGTCAGTACGACTCACAGCTGCGTCTTATGTATTTGAATCCATCCATTGCTCTTGTTAAACCTTCCTTCACTACCTTTAAGAGCTTTTTCATGGTTTTCTTCCCTCTCTGTAAAAGCACTCATGTGATATGGCCAAGTCACCACCTAGTGTTCTTCTTTTGCTAAGTTTCAGCTACTTACATATTTGACCCTGCAACTATTTTAAGCATTTTTTTCAACACCTCTGGCAGTTTTTTAAGGCACCTTTTTCAGTATTACAATATCCCATAAAAAGTGTGGGTTTCAAAAACTGTATGATGATCACACTGCTCTGCAGGGCTGAGGAGTGGCAAAGCGGCACAGTGTTGCAGTATAATTAACTTTTAAAAGGCCTTGGAGACTTTTAAAGAGTTATGCTTGGTACAATAGATTGGGTCCAGGTAAGCTGTATTGGAGTAGTTCTGCATTACATTTATATGCTTTCTTCACTTCAGTGTGGTCCCCTCATACTGTGGGGTCACACGCCACACCGGGACCCCATGTCCTCCTGCTGCAGCATCTCCTGTGATCCCTTCTGAGGCCTCTCCAAGAGCCACATGCATGAGGCAGGCTGGGGGTGGTGGCTTGGAGGTGTCACACAGTGGGTGACCCTCGGGAGCGATGGAGGTGATGACAGTGAGACAACCACCTCCCTCGATCCGCTGGTGATGCTTTGCCTGATGCCAACCGTGTCCTGGGGTGCCTCAGGCAAAGTAGGGCCAGCCAGGAGAGGGAGGGGATGGCCCCGCTCTGCTCTGCACAGGGGTAGCCTCACGTTGAATATTGCGTGCAGTTTTGGGCACCACAGTATAAAAACAATATTAAGCTACTAGAGAGCGTCCAGAGGAGGGTCGTGGAGATGGTGAAGGGTCTGGAGGGGAAGCCTCATGAGTAGCGTCTGAGGGCACTTGTTCTGTTCAGCCTGGAGGAGTCTGAGGGGAGACATCATCGCAGTTACAAGCTGCTCGTGAGGGGAAGCAGAGGGGCAGGTACCGATGTCCTCTCTCTGGTGACCACTGACAGGACCCGAGGCAATGGCATGAAGGTGAGCAGGAGGACGTTTTGGCTAGATATTAGAAAAAAAGTTCTGCGGTTGGGCACTGGAACAGACTCCCCAGGGCACTGGTCACAGCACCAAGCCTTACAGAATTCAAGAAGCGTTTGGACAATGCTCTCGGGCACATGGTGTGACTCTTGGGATGGTCCTGCGCAGGGGCAGGAGCTGGACTCTGTGATGCTGATGAGTCTCTTCTAACATTCCGTCGATACCCGTCACGTCCTCACCGCCACCGAGGGGCGGCCGAGGGTAGCCGGGCAGGGCGGAGCGGCGCGGGGCACCCGCCCCGTCAGGCACCGCCCATGGGTCACGGAGCGCGGTCGCTGCGGAGCGTCCAGGCGGGGCGGTGCGGGCGCCCCCAGCGGCCGGGCGGTGCTGCGCTGTGAGGGGCCGTGCGGGAGGGGAGGCGGGCCCGGGCCGTGCGGGAAGGCGGTGCCCGCCACAGCCTAGCGCTGGTGGGGTTACACGGCCCCGGTGCCGCCTCAACGGAGCGGGCCGGGCCGCGGGCAGGGCAGGTGAGCGAGGCTGCGGCCGCGGCGGGGAGGCGGGGAATACCGGTGCGGGCGGGCCCGCGCGGGGAGCGGGGACGCGGGCGGGCGGGTTTGGGCGCTCCCGGAGCCGCTGCCGCGGCCGCCCCGGGCTGCGGGGTCCTCGCAGCGCCTTCTCTGCCCCGAGGGGCTGGGGCGGGCTCCGTGTTTCGCCGAGCTCCCGGCCTGTGGTGTGACACCTGCCCGGGGAGCTGGGCCCGGGCCGGGCGCTGCAGGAGGCGTTGGGGGTTTGGACACAAGGCACTGGAGGGCAATGGCCAGTGGATCTCCTGCTCTTTTTGCTCTTCCAGGTCTGCCAGGATAGTGGGAAACATCCCTTGTGTCACAGGGACCTCTCCAGATGGCCCAGGAGGCTTTAGCATCTTGGCGTGTCCTGTGAGGCGCCTTATCTCGTATCTCCCTGCCATCAGTAAGTGTTGCCCGGCAGCGCGTGGGTTCTGAGCACAGCCAACACCCAGCGTTAATTTTCCTGCACGTGGCGGCTGCTTGATGGGATTGGGGTTGGTTATGCTGGAGTGTAGAGGAGAAGCCAGGTGGATAGTGGAGAAGTTGAGTTGGAAATATATCCAGTAGTGCTTTCCCACCGTGAGGTGGGATCCAGTGTACTTAAACTTATCCCTGACAGGCATTTCCTTAATTGGCTCTTACAGATTATGAAATTCATGGATTGCCTTCCCCCCACTCCCCAAGGTAACCTGCTTCGATGCTTAGCTATTGCTTATAGTCACAATTCTTCCTTAATAGCTGACCTAAATCTTTATTGAAACTAAGCTGATTATTATTTTGCACTATTGAGAGTATACCTGGAGTGCAATGGATCCATGTTCTCCTGTCAACAGGCTGGTGGGTGTTCTCAAGTTTCCACTCATAATCTTTACTCACTTACTTCCTGTGTCTGTCTGGTCCCTGAGCTCTGTTAGGCATTTCCATCATCCTTGGACTCAGAAATATGTGCAGTACTCCACTGGAAATGCTGTTAGCAGTGTGGAAGTGGGGTAATTATCTGCCTAGTGTATGGTATCCCTCTTAAAAACATTCCAGAATGACACTGTTTTATTTGGCAAATTTCTCACATTACTGAAATATTAAATTTGTGATCACCAGATCCTTTTTTGCTATACATCTACTTAGGGGATTATTCCTTATGAGATATCCAAGTTGGTGGGGGTTTTTTGTTTTGATAAGTATATTATTTTGCACTTGTTATTAGTCTGAGAAGAAGTTATCTTGATCAACATAATGTAACTTTCTATGCAATTTTAGTCTTTGAAATCCACTCTTGCAATCCTCTTCCTCCAAGTGTAGGATCATCCACCAGTAGTTAATTAAAATACCAAGTGGTGCCAGGCACTGCACATTGGGATAAACCTGCCCAGTTTGAAAGTTTGACTTGCTCAAAGACTTCTTGCTTTTCATGTTTCCCACTAGAGCTGCAACTCATTCTGTGCCATGGCTTTGCAGCTGTGCCAAATCCTATGGAGAACCTTAAATGAGGAAACCATGGATTCCTTTGAATTGGCTTTTATGCTCAGAGTGTGCTCAGCTGTGCTCTATGAGCTCACAGCTCATAGAAATACATGTAAAATCCCAAACTTTTCCAAAGTCTTGGTGCCTTGTGTATGGCTTCTTTTAAATTCTTTTCACATTCATTTCTTCAGAAAAATCTGCTTTGATCCCAACTTTCTTCAAAACTGCATTTCCATTTTTAGAGAGCTTTTTGGAATAAACATGCAAATGCCTCGTTCTCACACGCTTAAGACAGGATCAGATTTGTAGATAATACATTAATGCTTGGTTATACTCGTAAGGGATTACTTCATCTGATCACAAATGATCCATGAAGTTCAGAGCGAGAGGTGATGTTTTGAGAATTGTTAATACTGAAGTAAATCAGAAAATATTCTGAGAACAGCAGCTTGCTGATTAGAATGAAAGGGCTGGTGTTGCTATGAAAATGCAGCAGAAATCTGATGGTAAGCCTATGCAAACAGCAAAGTTTCTCTCTCTTAAAATTGCATTTCACTGTGGAAACATTATAAACTAAAAATTCTAGGGTTTGGTAACTAAGCAGAGATGAACATTATATGTACATTGACTTCACTGGAAGGACGAGTCCAGCGTTGGCAGGGTCAGAAGCTAAGTGATCATACAGATATTGTCCTCTATCCTCTACAATAGTTTATTTCTCATTCTAATTTTTTTAGATGTCTCACTTTAAAAATCATGGAGCTGGGAAAGGCAAAGCTTCTGCGAACCGGCCTCAATGCCTTATGCCAAGCAATCCACCCTGTGCACGGGCTTGCCTGGACAGATGGGAAGCAGGTGATCTTGACTGCATTACACCTTCAAAACGGAGAGCCCAAATTTGGTGACTCGAGCATTTTTGGTCAGTTTGAGCACGTCCACGGGCTGTACTGGGGCCCATGTCCCCCCGAGGCCCCGGCCCTGCTCACGGTGCAGCACAAGAAGCACATCACCATTTGGCAGCTCTGCTTCAACGGCGCCGACAGGAGCAACCTCCTGGTGTCTCAGATCTGCGACATCAGCGAGCCGCACCCCGTGCTGCCCCAGGGCTGTGTGTGGCACCCCAGCAAGGAGGTCTTGGCCGTGCTGACCACCCGGGACGCCTCCGTCTTACCCTCCGTCCACCTCAACAACTCCAGAATTAGTGCAGAGATCAAAGGCAGCGGCCTCATCCACTGTGCCTGTTGGACCAAGGAAGGCAACCGCCTGGTTGTGGGAGTGGGCAGTGCCCTTCACTCCTACATTTGGGATGATGCTCAGAAAACACTGAGTGCTTGTTCTTTCTGCCCAATCTTTGATGTGGGAGGCTACATCTGTGCCGTGGAGGCGACGCAGAATTTCCAAGTCGCCGTTGCCACTGAGCTCCCTCTAGACAAGATCTGTGGCTTAAATGCTGGTGTTGCATTTGAAGTTCCATCAAGTGTTGAAACCGAGTCCTTCCCCTCTCAGTCCAGCTTGTGCGGAGAGGAGGAGTATTCCATGGATGGGGGGAAGAAGTCGCTGGACTCTGAGAAGTCCTTGTCTGTAGTGACATCTCCTGTGGATCTCACTCACATACTTTCTAGCAAGCAGGGTGCTGATTCCAGCCCTCTCCTTCACCTGAGGCCCAAGGACTACCTGACGGGAAGTGGCCAAGATTCTTCACACCTCATCTTGGTGACTTTTGAAAGAAAGGTTACCTCTACCAAAAAAGCGAGCATCCCGGGCATTCTGGTTCCTGACATAATGGCTTTTGACCCCAAAACTCAAACTGTATCGGTTGCCTCCAATACTTGTAATGTTATTTTAGTCTATTCACTGACTTCATCCAATTTACCCAATATTCAGCAAATTCAACTAGAGAAAAGTGAGAAACCAAAGGGTTTGTGCTTCTTGACCAATAAACTGTTACTGATAATGGTTGGAAGCCAAAAATTCAGTGACCCTGCGTTTCTTCCCTCTTCAAGGTCAGACAAATACATGATCCGTTTGATAATTAAGAAACTGATATTTGAAATGGGTCCTTCAACATTTCCATCAGTTAATGGCAGTTCCAGTTTGAACCTTTCCAACATTCCTCGTGATCCCTCTAGAGACGTTCACCCCCTAAGCCGTGGGCTCCTGATACCGGATCGCTCTGCCCTGCAGTCCCCTACGAGCCGAAGGAAACTCATTGAAGAAATCAAGAGTCCTACTTATGAACAAAACCTTGCGTTGAACGTGAGCGACTTCAAAGACAAAAAGATTCCCTTGAACTTACCACCAGCTGTTGAGATTTTGGATGCTGAACCAGTCAATCGGACCGTGGCACTGTCTGCTGCATCAAACAAGCCAACGTCTCCAAAAAGGCAGGCAGAGGCAGCTTCCAAAATACCCAATTCTTACAAGAATAACCTGTTCACTGAAAAGGAGGCAAGTTACTTCTTGAGAAATGTAGAAAAACTGTCTGGTAACTTCACAGAATTGCAGCAGCACCTCTGTGAATTAACTGAGCTGCTAAAATCTGGGAAGAGAAGTCTTCCAGTGTATCCATCTTCTCAGGAACCCTCTTTTATTAACATCACCTGCCAGGTAATTTTAATATTGGAAGCCATAGTGATGAAATCTGTTTATGGCTGTATGTTCTTCGTAATGCTCAAGTAATGGTCAATAGGATTACATTTCCGTTCTGTTCCTGCAGATGGGACTACTGTTACAAGTCCCATTACTCAGCAGGCTTCCAGTGTTTTTAAAGCAATGGAATATCTGGGAATGTGCAGCTCCCTTGTGCTGGGCTGAGCCCCTCAGCTCATACCTGCTCCCTCTGCACAGAGGCTGCTCAGACTCCACAGGACCCACGTGTGGCAGCTCAGTTGTGGAATTAAAGCCCTATATGGAGTTCTAGGAAGGGAATCTTTTTCCTAGGCAACTTCTAAAGCTTTATGTTCAGAAATTTAGACAAGTGAAGATTTCCACACGTGGGAATTGGTATCCATCTCCCACTCTCCTATGAGGACAACTAAAATAATGGAGACTGAAACAAAAGCAAATTGCTTTGGCTCTGAAACAGAAAGGTTGCTAATTAGCATCTGAGGAGAAAAGAGACCCTTAGGGACACAATAGATAATTCCATTAACATAGCTTAAAAATGGATTTAAAATGAAATTCCATGTGAAAAACACTTTCCTTGGCTGAAAGATTTGCTCTTGCAAATCTCATGCTAGAAAGAGTAAGTTACCTGATTATCAAAACCTGGCACAAATCTAGTAGGTCTCCTCTAGAATTCAGATTAATAAACCTTAGTCAATATTCAAAGTCGTCTAAACTGCCATTTTCCTTTCAATAAGCTCTTGTTTTTCAGCTTTATTATTGCAAAAAAATTAATATCAGCTTTTGTAGCATTGAACTCTTAGATCCTAGATCATATTCCCTCGCTCTCTTCACTTTTTTCCATTGTAAACATTTAATAACTATAAAAACTTATTTTTCTAGCTCAAACATTATTTATGTCTGGGGTGTTACTCTGAAAAGTGAACACTTCCCTCTGCAGGTCTGAGGTGTTTTTTAGAAACCTGCTTTAATTTGAGGTAGCACAAATCTTTGTTAAATTTTGGTACTCTGTTCTCTTTTTCCATGTGGTTTGAAACTGAGTTCCAAGTATCACCTTGTCCTGGTGTTCAAGACCAGGCTGGATGGGGCTCTAAGCAACTTGGTCTAGTGGAAGGTGTCCCTCCCTCTGACAGGGGGTTGGAACTGGATGATCTTTAAGGTCCCTTCCAACACAAAACATTGTGTGATTCCGAGAGCTGGATTAGCTGCACAAATTAAAGTAGTGCCTCAGTTTCACCTGCATACTTTGCTCACTGATGATTTGTGGCAAGAAAAGCATTTGACTTTTGAATTACAGGTGACATTGGAAAGTCTGGCAGAAAATGCTGAGTTTTAACTTCAACCAGAGTATTTTTGATTCAGAAATCATTAACAGGCAAACAGGGATCCTCACCTCATGTGCTGAGCCCTGATGGTTTCTCTGCTGTCCAGGTGATTAGCTGTGTTTTACAAAACTTTGAGGAAACCCAAAATGTCCCAAATAAGCTGGGTTTTGACAGGGCAGGGTTTAGCAGTGCAGAAGGCAAAGAGCATGTGAGAATCTTCAGCACAAGAGCATTGAGGGTGTGAGGGGGGAGGCTGAGGTTGAATATTAGGGAAAGGTTCTTTACCTAGAAGGTGGTTGAGCACTGGAACAGGCTCTCCAGGTAAGTGGTCACAGCACCAAGCCTGGCAGAGTTCAATAAGAGTTTGGACAACACTCTCAGGCACATGGTGTGACTCTTGGGATGGTCCTGTGCAGGGCCAGGAGTTGGACTCAATGATTCTTGTGGTTCCCTTCCAGCTCAGGACATTATGTGATTCTGTGATCTCCACCCTCCCCTCTGCTATACACTCTCCTTGTGGGGGCATGGATCCATCCACAGCACGGAAAAGAAGTCAAAATTTACTTGATTATGTTTTTGTCATTATCCAGAGGTGTTATCAAGGCTTCCCTGCAAAGTGATGTGGTTTTGTGAATGTTATCCTACACAAGGACACTGTTTGTAGTATTGGTAAAAACTGAGCTTTAGCAGATTTAAAAAATACTTTGCCCCACTGGGCATATTCCTTGGACATGCTTTTGTATTTAAGCCTTGGGGCAGCAATGGTCAGGGGTGAGACAAACAAGCTCTTCTGACTTGCGAGTCTGTCATTTGCCCCAACATTCATGAGCAGGAGCGCTCTCATCTTCTTAAGTTGTGGATCA